TTATTAATAATAGTATATTGATATACAAATTAAGTTTATAAATTAAATAAATTATATATTTAATTTAATATTTAATTCATGATCTGTGTGGGAACCAGTGATCTGCAATAATACAAATTGGAGATAATCTACATATATATTTTTAACTACTTTTCGAATCTGCCTATTTTCAGTATATAAAAAGTTTTATATATATTCAAACTTTTTTAAAAAAAATACACTGATACAAATTAGCATAGAATAATTTGATAATTTCACATAATAATGTGTATAAATAACAAAGTTATACATGTATAGAAAAATAACCTCAAGTATTTACTTATTTGAGTGCATGGTAAGTTACAGGTTTTTACTCTCATGCACTTATTTATACAATAGGCATCTACCATGTATTATCTTATATTTGTACAACAAAGTTCAAGAGCTGGGCGTTTGGTTCTGTCATATACATACCTATAGACCAATAAAAATAAAAAATTTTATGCTTGGTTCAGTATACTAAGGGCTTCATAGGTTACCTAAAATATAATGTAATTGTTGTACAACATGGACGTTTAGTCCAGTATACCAAGGGCCTCTTTAGAATTTGTATAAAATGAAGTTATTTCTGGCTTTATTTTGAAGCTTTTTAAATCCAAAAGCTTCAAAATAATGCCTGGGGCATTACTTTACGCTTATATAGTACTAAAAGCTTGTGAATAAAATTCGTATTTTTTATAAATAGCAAACGTGTTTTTTTCTATATAATAAACAATTCCCAAACTTTTAAATTCCTTTTAATTAAATAAATAGCATTTTGGCTTTAGTATATTATAAAGTCTTATATAAATAAGAGACTCAATTCAGCACCATATCATTATAGCAAAAATATTTTTATAAATCACATGACTTAGAAACCCTTTACTATAGAAAACTCGAGTCAATTTATACAGTTTTCTTTTTTTTTCTGAACGTGTTCTAATTAATTATACAGTATATCAAAATATAAAGTTTAACTTATATTACTTGGTGAAATTATCCAAAATCTACATTTGGGGCCATATGCTAAGAACTAGTAGATTTTTCATCCAAAAAATAATAATAATGAAACATATATGCTTCTTTATCCAATCAGCCTTGGTATGAAAACTATAACTACTATAAACCAGCATGATTTTATAATTACTGTAGTTCAAAATAGTTTTGAACCTGGATACATATATCAATCTGAAGCCCTGCAAAATGATATATGTAAAAGTTCATCAGAAGTAACTACCTCTGTATATCAGAAAGCTTTTTTTACAAAAACTAGATTAGATGGTCTTGAGGTTATGATATTTATTTTCATCTTTTTACTTTTAATATTGGAAATTTACACTTGACTATTTTAGAAGTTGGTAAATCAAACAATTCTAGTTGGAATTATGTAAGAAAAGGATATCAAAGTTCTTTCGTGCATAATTTCAAACATGCTCGTTCATTATTTTTTCAGAAATTTAGTAATAAAGACACAATCATTAAAATATACCAAGGTTTTCAAGAAGTGTATGTTTTTCATAATACTGACCCTAATGCTGTTTGGAATAAGATTGGTATATTAAAGCAGTATATAGGTAATATGCTTTTTGGACTTGAACATGAACAAACGAGTTAGCAATTAGCAAAGAATAAGCACTCTCATGTACAGTAGAAGATTGGCAAAATGAGCAGATCATGAACCAGCTTTTTAATTATCATCTTAAAAAATTTATTGCCATATCTATAGAATGGAGCAACTTTTTTATTAGTTGGCAAAATCAAAAAAGCAATATCATTGAATTAGCAACAAAACTAAAAGAAATATACCCACCAGATTATGCTATTAAAGATCATGAATTATGTGCATGGAAAGCTCTATTAAGACATACGGGCTGTACTAAGATAACACCTTTTGAAAAAGGGTCTATAGTAATACTAACAATAATTTTTTCAAAGAAATATATATATATATTGTATGTTAAATTAATATTGCATTAGATTAAAATAATTATAACCCTAATCATACAATAGGAGTTCACCCTAACCTTAATAAAACTATATTTAAATTTTGATCTGACACAAATTTTATTTGACATACAATATATACATCATAGTGCTTTAACCAAATTACCTACCCTCTTTTCAATATCACCTTGCAAAATATTCTGGTGCAAAACATAACATTTCAATACTTATGTAATTGAATATTTTTTTTAATATGAACCTGCTTCTACATAATGCACCTAGGTCTTTGTAAGTTTTTTTGTATTAGGCACTAGGTCTTTTAGTTAGCATACTATATATATATATATTTATAAATATATATAATGTTTCTAACTTCATGGTTTGTAGCCTGAATTCTGAACTCGAACAAAAGATCCAGAAAAGGACCAAGCTCTGTTGAAGCAGTTAAATGAATATGAATATCTTAGGACCTTTCCAGAAAACGAAATTAGTGCGAATCAATTTTGGAATGCATTTCAAGATGCATTAGATAGTAATATTCGTGGAGTTGATGGAAAAAGACACATATTATCTATTATCGCCAATAAACTTTCCTATGAAGCAATAAAAAAAATTTACCTATTAGTATTTTTATATGTAATATTTTATAGTGTGATTGCCTGAAGATCTTTGGAACATAATAATTATTATATTCTATAAGATCATTTTCTAGACAAAAACCTCATATGGATGAATACATAGCAAAACTATGCTTAGAATATATATAATATATATATTCTAAGCATGGTTTTGCTGTGTATTCACTTATAAATATTTGAACAAAAAATAAATAAATAAATTTGTTTCAGGTCTCAAATTATTTAATTACTAAAGCACATCATTATGCCCATGTTAATGGTCCAGAAGGTGTTTAATTGGAAAAGCCTAAAATTATTTTAGAAAAGCTAGCATCTGAAAAAAAGGAACAGATTGAATATTTTTTTCAAAATAAAGCAAATGTCATAATGAGTTCTTATAAAACTGATAGTGCAACTGGATTACCTGTATATTATTTGAAAAATAATAAAAAGGCCTTATGGGAAAGATTTCATAAAGAGTATCCTAATAGTGTTAAAAGAACAAGGTTTTATAAATATTTACAAAGTAGGCAATATATCTATAAGGAAAACCTAGGTGGTCTTTGCTCGATCTGTAATATGTATAGATATAAAACGTTTGATGAACTTCAAAAATTAATACAATGTTATGCAGACTTAGATCTTCAGGTAAATTTTATATCATTAAAGCTACACTGTTCAAAGGTTAAAAATTTGAATGTTGAATAGAATCTTTCGAATACTGTTTGACAGAAGTATTTTTATCATACTATTTTATGGACATGAATGTCCGTAAAATCATATGAGCTTGGTGCTGGCTAAGGTTTTTTTGGTTCTATAATGCTATATTATAATATTTTAGCATTGTATATTATGGGAAGAGAAAAATTTTTTTCCTAGTGCCAATTCTATATAATATAGAATCACAAACTAATTACATTCAAAGTATGTCATTCAATATATCAAATTTTTTGAATTTTAACATGTGATTACCTTTAATATCAACTAATTGATAAATTAAAGAAATGATTGCTAACTGAGTGCAATAACCTGCAAAGATATTTAAAAAAAAATTATGAAAATAAATTAAAAGTTAATTTTTTTGGTAATACAAAACTTAATACCTATATTAATAATTGTATGCTCTATGCTTTTGGAACCTGTTCAGAATTGCATGATCTAACTTGTAATAAGTATAAAGCTTTTTTTAATTTATTTAGACAAGTTCAAGAACACATACTATCTGAATTTCATATGGAATTAAAGGAATTAAAGGAATACTTATTATATTATTTGGTTCACCAAATAAGAAAAGTCTATTTAAATACACAATTAAATGCAAATTTAGGTAAGGTTGAAAATTATATCTTACAATCTTACATTTCATGTAATTTTACCTACTGTTAACATTAAGAGTTTTACACATTTTTGATCATAACTTTTTATGTACTGAACCAATTTGGATGAAACAACCACCATTGGATTCAGCTCACCGAGACGATTCTAACGAGCACAAGATCA